GTGTGTGTGTGTGTGTGTGTGTGTGTGTGTGTGTCTCTGTGTGTGTGTGTCTGTGTGTCTGTGTGTCTGTGTGTGTGTGTGTGTGTGTGTGTGTGTGTACGTGTGCGTGTGTGTGTATGTATGTATGTATGTATGTATGTATGTATGTATGTATGTATGTATGTATGTATGTATGTATGTATGTATGTATGTATGTATGTATGTATGTATGTATGTATGTATGTATGTACGTATGTACGACGTTTCAACCCACTTTGACCACCACCACTTGTATCTCCACACATTCACTCACTTACTCACATGTACAATCACACATAAAACCCTCCTCCCCCCTTTGGGCTCGCTCCCCTCTGGTGCACGTGGCCATGGCGGCAGGAGGACCTGATGACGCAGCGCCTGTGTGTGTCCGAATGGGAAAAGACGCGCGATTTCTTCGATGAGGACGACCCCATTCGCGACTACACGACGAAATTCGAGCAGTGCGTTGATGCGTGTGTGTGTGTGTACGGTTTTGTTTGTTTGTTTGTTTGTTTGTTTGTGTGTGTGTGTGTGTGTGTGTTTGTGTGTGTTTATGTTTGTGTCTGTCTGACTGCATACATACAGTGTGTGTGTGCGTGGTGAACGCTGCGAGTTCGTTCCATTGCCATCAATGTCTCTGCGCTTCTTTGTTCTGTCTGCATTTACACACAAACACCCCCCCCCCCCCCCTCTCTGGGCTCAATGTCCCCACTCACCCTTCTATCACCACCGTCACCATCACCACCACCAGCAACTTGGCTGTGATTGAGCGCTATGGGCGTTTCCCCGATCGCAACGCCGTGCTGGGCCGCGAGACGACGGAGGAGGAGATGGAGTACCTGCAGCTCAACGGAAAGGCCATCGCACCAACACGCAGTGTCGCCCCGCACACCGCAACGAAGGAGAGCCTGGGCCGCCTGAAGCTGTTTGCTAACTCAAACACGTGATGCTGATTGATTGGTTGATTGATTGGTTGATGGTGGCTGTTGGTGTCTGGGATGTACGTGGGCGGGTGTAGTTGTACGCCCACGATCAATTGATGCTGGTGCATCCGTTCTCTACTCGCCACTATGTGTCCCCTTGTGCATTTCGTTTTTGTTTTGTTTTGTCTGCGGTGTCCCTGTTACGTGACAACTGCGGGCATCACCACACGCCCTTCTTGCTTGTTGCATTTTGTAACTGTGTTGTAACTGTGTGATGATTCGTTCTGTTTCCATAATCGAATGAAGCTTGTGCTTCCCCTGTCAACGTTGTTGAATGTGTATGTGCGTGTGCGTGTGCGTGTGTGTGTGTGTGTGTGTGTGTGCGTGTGCGTGTGTGTCTGTGCGTGTGTGTGTCTGTGTGTGTGTGACACCTTGTCAACACACCAGTACAAAAGTTAAAGCTGCAGACTGCAAATGCGACCAGTTCGTCACACGAGTGTCCACACTGGTGCGTCGAAGTCAGTGGCGGAAGATGTCACGCAATGTATGTGTGTAGGTGTGTGTAGGTGTGTGTATGGCGTAGAACAAGGGAAGAAGATGGAATATGATGAAGGTCAGACCAAAGGAGTTGAGAAAATGAGCAAAGCAGTGATGAGTAAGTTGAACGAACGCAGTAACAGTCAAGCACTGAGCAGATGACGTGTCCTTCCAAAGAAGGAACGGAACGAGTGAACACAATGGCATAACGGCTGATGATGCAAAGAAAAGAAACGCCAAGGGAACTCAGGCAACAAAATGATGGGTCAAACAAAACGGTGATTGCTTCGCGATGGAAAGCGGGCACGAGTTGATGTTGTGGGAGAGAGGGTGTCATTCGTCTGAAGCCAACGATTTGGCCTTTACGAGAGATCACACGGCAGAGTCGCCCAAGGTGCATATTCCTGGCCATACTTGCCAAGGCATGGGCAGCAGGCACGCATGGTGAAGGGGCTGGGAGCGTTGTACAGCCCGTTGAGCAGACACATCACCCGGAATGCCTCGTTCTCTTCACCTGTGTGAGACAAGGAGATTGAGCGTGTGCGTGTGTGTGTATATATGTGTGTGTGTGTGAGTGAGTGAGTGAGTGAGTGTGTGTGGGTGGGTGTGTACGTGTGTGTGTGTGTGTGTGTGTGTGTGTGTGTGTGTGTGTGTGTGTGTGTGTGTGTGTGTGTGTGTGTGTGTGTGTGTGACGGTGTGCGTGTGTGTGTGTGTGTGTGTGACGGTGTACACTGTCATACTCATTTGTGTGTTCAAGTAAGTGCATGCCAGCCACCCTCTTCTGCTATCACTTCGGCCTCCCCTCCCCCTGATCACAGCACGCCATGCTCACCGTAGCGCTTGGCGCACTGGTCAATGGTGGTAGTGATCTGGGAGCTGCACCCGGCCCAGCGCTGATAGCCGCACTCGTCTGCATCAGGATATCGGCCTGTAGGGAGGAAGGGAATGAGGAAGGGAACGAGGAAGATTGTGAGTGGAACGGGTGAATTGGGAAAGGTAGAGGTTGCCCCTCCACATCATCAAGGCATGCACACACACACACACACATACACACACACACACAGCCACACACACAGCCACACACACAGGCACACACAGCCACACACAGCCACACACACACACACACACACACACACACACACATACACACATACCGAATGGGATGGTGTGCATGATTGGGGAGTCGAGCTCTGGCGGGGTGGTGGCGACGACGGTGTTGTTGAGCAGACTGCGCTGGTACGCGTTGGGGAAGTACTGATAGTGCAGGTCAATCACAGCACCGCCGAGCAGGAAGCACAGCCACGGCGCACGCTTTGGCGGCTGCTGCTGCTTGCACATGCCCGGTGTCAC